AGTGTCATTCCTCAGGAGCATCCCAAACTCACAGGGGGAGGACGGGAGAAGGGAAGAGACACGGGGTAAAGAGAAGGATGAAGCACGAGGGAGAGATTTGAAGGACGGCTGTTCGGAGCAGGAGTACAAGCGACAAAACCAGACGGGCGGGTCGGGCGGGCGGACCCTAATAACTTGGTCAGGCGGGCGGACCTAGACGGCTGGGTCGAGCGGGCGGGTCGTTGAAGCGTCAATCCAACATGAATCGCAAGTAAGTTTCGAGCGATAGCGTGGTTACCGCGTACGCCGTGGGAAATCCAAAGAGGGAGGGCTATTCTTGAGTGATGGCCACGGCGCCGCCATATTTTACGAGGAAGTACCACGCGAGAACCCGGACCCCGCATAAGTTATGAGGAACCCCCGCGCGAGAGCGCGAGTTCGAAATACAGGTCAGGACGTATCAGGAGGGAGCCCTTGTTGTTGCAGTTGCGTCTAACAACCCATTCTGAGGCGCAATATTCTTAAACAGGTGCTTGCATTCAGGGTTCTTAATTTCGCCAAGCATCTCGGGACCATTCCCGCAAAATCGCCGCCGTGCCGCCCGTCGCCGCTTGTCGCCGTCGCCGCCCGCCGCCGCCATCCCCGCACATAGCCGCCCGTGCCGCTCGTCGCCGCCCGTCGCCGTCGCCGCCCGTCGCCGCCATCCAAGCCCGTCGCCGCCCGTGCCACCCGTCGCTGCCCGTCGCCTTCGCCGCATCGCAGACACTGCACCGCATATATCGATTACATTACATGCTTTGCATTGCACACATTGCACCACGTAGATTGCGCTGCATAGATTGCATTACATAGGTTGGATCGCATGCAATTCACCACATGTAGATTGTATTACACAGGTTACATCGCATACATTGCAACACCTATATTGCACCGCACGGGTTGCATTGCATTGGTTGCATGGCATACACTGCATCAAACGCAGATTGCATTCCATAGGTTGTATCGCATGCATTCTCTTTTTCTTAAACGAGAATAGACTTTACCCCCCCCCGGCGTTATCGGGACCCCTTTCGGGTATATGAATCATATATGATCTTGACCACATGTCCATCCTAAATCTGAAATCGCAATGTCCCAGGCCAACCGGGTTCCCCCCCTGAGGTTCCCTTGCAAAAAAAACTATGCGGTGACATTGTTGGTTCTAACATAGCACTTTTTCACGATCCCTTGCAAAAAAAATATGACGAAGTGCACACGCGCGCGTCGTCGCGCGCGCATGCCGAAATCCTTCAAAAACCTTCGGTGTCGGAAGGATTTCGCAATCGAGTTTCCAAAAAACATACAAAAACACAGGGTTTCGCAACATTGGTTTGCTAAAAAAGCTTCCGCTCGAGCTCTTGCGAAATCTTAAGGAAACCATGGGTTTTTCAAGATTTTCACAAAATGCTATCAAACGGGATTCGCGCGCGCATGTCGAAATCTGTCGAACGCCCTTGCGCGTGTGCCGTCGCGAGAGTCCTCTACAAAAAATGAGACGAAGTGCAGACGCGCGCGTCGTCGCGCGCGTATGCCGAAAACCTTAAAAACCCATCGGTTTCGGAAGGATTTCAAAATCGTGTGTCCAAAAGACCGACAAAAACACACGGTTTCGCAACACGGATTTTCAGCAAAAGCTTGTCGTCGTCGTCGTCGTCGCCGCCGTCTTCCCTCTTCCCGCGTCGTCGTCGTCGTCGTCGCCTACGTCGTCCTCTGTCTTTCCTCGTGTTCGTCGTCGGCGTCCTCTTCGGCGTCGTGGTCGTTTCCGTCGTCGTTGTCGCCGTGGTCGTCCTTCCTCCTCCTCCCTCGTCGTCGTCGTCGTCCGTCGTCGGCGTCTCGTCGTCGTCCCTCCTATTTCGTCGCCGTCGTCGTCGTCGTCGTCGTCGTTGTCGTCGTCGTCTTCCCTCCTCACTCGTCGTTGTCGTCGTCGGCGTCGCCGTCCTTCCTCCTTCGTCGTTCGCGTTGTCGCCGTCCTCCCTCCTCCCTCGTCGTTGTCGTCGTTGTCGTCGTTGTCGCCGTCGTCATTCTCCCTCCTCCCTCGTCGTCGTCTTCGTTGGCGACGTCGTCGTCGTCTTCGTCGTCGTCGTTGGCGTCGGCGTCGTCGTCTTCGTCGTCGTCGACGTCGGCGTCGTCGTCGCCGCCGCGTCGTCGTCGTCGTCGTCGTCGGCGTCGTTGACGTCGTCGTCGTCGTCGTCGGTGTCGTCGTTGTCGTCGTCGTCGGCGTCGTCATCGTCGTCGTCGTTGTCATCGTCGTCGGCGTCGGCGTCGTCGTCGTCGTCGGTGTCGTCGTCGTCGTCGTTATCGGCGTCGTCGAAGTCGTTGGAGACGTCGTCGGTGTCGTCGTAGTCGTTGTCGACGGCGTCGTCGTCATCGTTGTCGCTGTCGTCGTCGGCGTCGCTGTCGCTGCCAAGTGCAATTTGGTACCCATCGTCACGGTCTTAAGAGATTTTGCAAGCCAAGTTGCGGGTGGGTGGGTGGGTAGTTTGCGCGAGCAGTGGAGTGGACAATTCATTGCGAACAGAAAGTATTGCACCACATAGATTGTATTGCATAGAAGCCATTACAAAGGTTGAGTCGCATAAGTTGCACCACAGATATTGCACCGCATGGATTGCTTTACAAACGCTGCATCGCATACATTGCACCACACATGGATTGCATTACATAGGTTGCATCGCATACATTGGACCACATCGATTGCACCGCATATACTGCATTACGTTGGTTGCACCGCATACATTGCACCGCATAGATTGCACCGCAATGACTGCCAGACATAGGTTGCATCGCATCCAATTCATCACATTAACATTGCGCCGCGTTGAGTGCCAGACATAGGTTGCTTCGCATCCATTGCATCACAGATATTGCGCCGCATAGATTGTATTACATAAGTTGCATCGCATATATTGGTTCTCCTTTCTAGAACCGGATCTCCCTCCCCCGGCGTTATCGCTACCCCTTTCGGGTATGTAAATCATATATGATGCTGACCACATGTTCATCTTAAATATGAATTTGCACTATCCCCTGGGGGCCGGTATCTCCCCCCTGAGGGTCCCTTGTAAAAAACACTATGCGGTCGCATTTTTTGTTCTAACATAGCATTTTTTCACGAACCCCTTGCAAAAAATAAAACGAAGTGCAAATGCGCGCGTCGTCGTGCGCGCATGCCGAAATCCTTCAAACACCTTCGGTGCCGGAAGGATTTCGCAATCGAGTTTCCAAAACACGTACAAAACCCAGGGTTTCGCGACACTGGTTTGCTAAAAAAGCTTCCGCGCGAGTTCTTGCGAAATCTTAAGGAAACCATGGGTTTTTCAAGATTTTCACAAAATGCTATCAAACGGGATTCGCGCGCGCATGTCGAAATCTGTCGAACGCCCTTGCGCGTGTGCCGTCGCGAGAGTCCTCTACAAAAAATGAGACGAAGTGCAGACGCGCGCGTCGTCGCGCGCGTATGCCGAAAACCTTCAAAACCCATCGGTTTCGGAAGGATTTCAAAATCGTGTGTCCAAAAAACATACAAAAACACAAGGTTTCGCAACACGGATTTTCAACAAAAGCGTGCGCGCGCGCTCTTGCGTCGTCGTCGTCGTCGTCGTCGCCGTCCTCCCTCCTCCCGCGTCGTCGTCGTCGTACGTCGTCCTCTGTCTTTCCTCGTGTTCGTCGTCGTCGTCCTCTTTGGCGTCGTGGTCGTTTCCGTCGTCGTTGTCGCCGTGGTCGTCCTTCCTCCTCATCCCTCGTCGTCGTCGTCGTCCGTCGTCGGCGTCTCGTCGTCGTCCCTCCTATTTCGTCGCCGTCGTCGTCGTCGCCATTGTCGTCGTCGTCTTCCCTCCTCCCTGGTCGTTGTCGTCGTCGGCGCCGCCGTCCTTCCTCCTTCGTCGTTCGCGTCGTCGCCGTCCTCCCTCCTCCCTCGTCGTTGTCGTCGTTGCCGTCGTTGTCGCCGTCGTCGTCCTTCCTCCTCCCTCGTCGTCGTCTTCGTTGGCGACGTCGTCGTCGTCTTCGTCGGCGTCGGCGTCGACGTCGTTGTCGTCGAAGTCGTCGGAGACGTCGTCGGTGTCATCGTAGTCGCTGTCGTCGTCGTCGTCGGTGTCGATGACGTCGTCGTCGTCGTCGGTGTCGTCGTCGTCGTCGAAGTCGTTGGAGACGTCGTCGGTGTCGTCGTAGTCGGTGTCGGCGGCGCCGTCGTCGTCGTTGTTGTCGCTGTCGTCGCCGGCGTCGGTGTCGTGGCCAAGTGTCATGTGGTACGTACCGTCACGGTCTTGTCGTAAGAGATCTTGCGACCAAGTTGCGGGTGGGAGGGTGGGATGTTTGCACGAGTGGTGGAGAGGACAGCGTCAAGGCGGTCAAAGATTAATTGCACCGCATAGATTGCGTTACACAGGTTTCATCGCGTACGTTGCACCACATATATATATATATATATACTGCACCGCATAGATTGCAAGAACCCCCTGTCCGGGGTCCACACTGGATAACATTATCTTTTGTACAACTGGGTGCGAGCCCCAAGAGCAGCACGTCCATTGAAAAAACGCAATGGGTACCGAAGGGCAGGATCAACAATAATGATTCCCATAAAGGAGAATACAACGCATCTGCAACAAGCTTGATTCGCGCCGGGGAGTCCCGTTTCAGCCCTGCACCCAGGGACGGTGTAAGACCGTTCGCCCCCTGCTTTCTGATAATGAGTTGGGCAACAGTTCGAAGATGCTCCACTGTTTCCCCTTCCCGTGCTTTTGGCCTTTGTCTTATCTCAGGCGTTCCTTCACCAACCCGGACGTGTGTGTGCGTCCTCCCTGTATGGCTTGAGCACCGGTCTAAACGTTTGAGCAACCTTTGAGTTTGATCGCTCCTCCGTTCTTGCCGTTCTCCTTGACACCTCATCCCTCGCTCCCCTGTTGCCTCCCCTCCCCCCCTGCCTCCTATCCGAACCCCTCCCACCCGTCTCCTTATCCTCCTCCTCATCATCCTTCTCCTCATCCGTCTCTTCCTCCTTCATCCTTCCATCATCCGCTCACTTCTCTGTCCCCGTCGATAATTTGTCGTACTCCCCGCCATCACGCCACCAGTATGCTCATGTTGGTCTGTGGTCGCGAGGGGGGTATGGTCTATGTCTTGATTGTTGACATCGTATCACCTTTTCGGTTGTGCTACTACAGTCAAAGCATTTTCTGGCCAATCGCCTTACATTCAAAAACCTCTCGTCCTTCTCCTCAGATGGTAGTGATGTTCTCAAAAAAATATCGTTCATTGCTCCCCCATCCGCATTTGCATTCATCTGGCGCCGTTCCCAGCGAGTGGTTCTACGTTCCTGCCATGTTGTTTCTCACATGGCAACGAATTTCTCCTTTCGCACGTGGCCCCTCCTTCTCCATCCGACGAGTTCACTGACGCACGAGCTTCGTCTGCCACCTGCGGCGATCCTCACTGCCAGGAGCACGTCATATGCAGGAAGCCGGTCGTCGCTCCCAGCCCGCACGTGGCTTGGCTCAGGCCGAAGGTGAAGGAAGAGGGCATCGTCAAGGAGGAGCTCCCCATCATCACCATCATCGTCAGAATCCTCATCGTCAGAATCCTCCTCCTCCCTCATCATCATCATCAACATCATCATCATCATCATCATCATAATCATCATCATCATAGTCATCGTCACGATCACCACCTTCATCACCATCACCATCACCATCACCGCAGTCATGTGCAAATTTGCATCGCACCCTGACATCCAGAAGTAATCGTATGTTGAAGCTTTTTTTAGGGCAGTGTTGAAGCCGTCATGATGCATCAGAAGCTCACCAGGGAAAACATACGAGAAGCTACACACCAGGATTTTGGACTCTTGACGCAATCCTCGGGAGGATCCGAGGCCACTTGGTGCCGTGTTGAGGCCATCGTAGGCCGTTCTGGAGGTTTGTGCGAAGTTAGGTTGAGCAATTGTTGGGCATATTGTGCCATATTGGAGGCAGCTTGAAGACAGAAAAGGCAACGCTGGAGCCAGATATGCCAACACAGTGCCCCAGTAACCCCCTTAAAGCTAAATTAACTCACATGTCGCATGAGCTTCATCAACCTGGGTATGCCACAGCTGAAACGAGGGCCATGCATGGTTGCATCCTAGGGAGTTGAAGCATCGCATTGTGGAGCTCTCTTGGGATGCGCGTGGGGCCGTGTTGGGGCATGAGTGGCACCATTTGGGTGTTCTATTGCGTCATGCTGGGCCCGCCTTGGGGGCTCAGAAGCCATTGTTGGGAAACAATGCAACTATAACTATATATCCCTACACACATATCGATATATATATACATATATATATATATATACACGCACAGATGCACACACATACATGAATACATATGAAGTGTGAAGGATGTCGGCATCTTGGGGAGGGTATTTGGTGGTATTCGAGGCCGTTTGAAGCCGTATGGGGGGGCCTCGTCGGAGACATGTCAGAGGTTTATGTTGCGTTCACATGGGACAGACTGCGCCAAGGAAAGGTATAACGTTCTTAGCCGTTGTAGCGCACGGCGGGACGGCAAGCATCAAAACGAAAGATTGAAGCGCGAGTTCAAGTTTAAGTTTCAAGTTTAGCTTCCTCGCGCGAGGCGAGAAACCATGTTTTTGTACATTGCAGCTTTGCCGTTTTAGCTTTCAGCTTTGGATTCCGCGTGCGAGGCGAGAACGGTTGGGGGAGGTCCAGGAGGCGTTGAAGCCCATGGCGCCAACCATCATGATCAGAATTGCACGTGTGGTTTTCATTGCAGCGATTTTGCATCACAGTTTGTTTTGCATTGCAGTTGTTGGCTGTCGCATTGCAAAGTGCTGCCTTGCAAGCTGTTTTGCATTGCAGCATTGCCGTTCTAGCTTCAGCGTTGGATTCCGCGTGCGAGGCGAGAGTGGTTTGGGGGAGGTCCAGGGAGGGTCTGGAGCCCACGGCGCTAACCAACATGATCAGAATCAATGTTGAGTTGGGGCATTTGTGTTGTTGTTGCATTGCAGTTTGTTTGCAGTGCAGCTTTGCCGTTCTAGCTTCAGCTTTGAATTCCGCGTGCGAGGCGCGAGCGGTTTGGGGAGGTCCAGGGATGGTCTGAATCCCACGGCGCCAACTACCATGATCAGAATTACAAGTGTTTTGCATGGCAGTTGTGTTTTGCATTGCAGTTGTGCCGTTCTAGCTTCAGTTTTGAATTCCGCGTGCGAGGCGAGAGCGGTTTGGGGAGGTCCAGGGATGGTCTGAATCCCATGGCGCCAACCACCATGATCAGAATTACAATTGTTTTGCATGGCAGTTTGTTTGTGGATTGCAGCTTTTCCGTTCTAACTTTCAGCTTTGGATTCTGCGTGCGAGGCGAGAGCGGTTGGGGGAGGTCCAGTTGTTGAAGCCCACGGCGCCAACCACCATGATCAGAATTATATGTTTTTGCATTGTAGATGTGTTGCCTTACAGTTTGTTTTGCATTGCAGCTTTGCCGTTCTAGCTTCAGCTTTGGATTCCGCGTGCGAGTCGAGAGCGGTTTGGGGAGGTCCAGGGAGGGTCTGACGCTCATGGCGCTAACCACCATGATCAGAATTACATGTGGTTGCATTGCAATGGTTTGTTGCATTGCAGGTGTTTGCAGTGCAGCTTTGCCGTTCTAGCTTCAGCTTTGGATTCCTCGTGCGAGGCGAGAGCGGTTCGGGGAGGTCAGGGAGGCTCTGAAGCCCACGGCGCCAACCACCATGATCAGAATTACAATTGTTTTGCATGGCAGTTGTTTTTTGCATTGCAGTTGTGCCGTTCTAGTTCCAGCTTTGGATTCCGTGTGCGAGGCGGGAGCAGTTTGGGAAGGACGTCCCACCAGCCATTTAGGGCGTAGGTGGTCTAACGCGTTTCTCTTCCAACCCCCTTCTTCCCCTTCGGGGAGGGGTTTACCCCTCCCCCTACCCCCTCCCCACTGACCTGGACAGGGGGGGCCGCGAGCGGTCAGAGGGTCCAACATCGACTCCTGGGAAGGCTGAAATCCGACACCCCTCACGAGGATCGTGGCTCCTGAGGGGGGGGCTGTAATTTAGGACCCCCCCTTCGTTGATCGATCTCTTCCAAGATGGCTCCAAGAGACGTCTTAGACCCTCCTCTTGGGCCCTGCGCGCGGCTGGGCGGAGCGCCGCCCGCCCGCCCGCAAGGCTCAAGAGCCCACCAAAACGCCTCAAGATACCTCCAAGACGCCGACAGGAGGAAGAGGAGAAGGGGAAGGAGGAGGAGGAGGAGGAGGAGGAGGAGGGGGAGGAGAACGACTGCCGATGATCGGCGCTCTTCGTTCGGGTACCTGGTGTAGGATGGGCTGGTGGGGATACGCGAATCGTCAACAATTTTGAAGCCCTCGGCACCAACCACCATGATCATACTTTCAAGGTTGTTGCATCGCAGTGCTTGTTACATTGCATTTTGTTTTGCATTGCAGTTTTGCCGTTCTAGCTTCAGCTTTGGATTCCGCGTGCGAGTCGAGAGCGGTTTGGGGAGGTCCAGGGAGGGTCTGAAGCCCACGGCGCCAACCACCATGATCATACTTACACGTTGTTTTGCATTGCAGTTACGTGTTGCCTTACAGTTTGCTTTGCATTGCAGTTTCGCCGTTCTAGTTTCAGTTCTGGATTCTGGGTGCGAGACAAGAGCGGTTTGGGGAGGTCCAGGGAGGCTTTGCAGCCCATGGCGCCAACCACAATGACCAGACAGTTTTTGTTTGTATTGCAGTTTATTGCATTGCAGTCTCGCCGTTCTCGCCGTTCTAGCTCCAGCTTTGGATTCCGCGTGTGCGGCGAGATCGGTTTGGGGAGATCAGGGAGGGTCTGAAGCCCACGACGCCAACCACGATGATCAGAATTACACGTTTTTTTCTGGATTGCAGTTTTTGTTGCACCACAGGTTGTTGTTAATTGCAGTTGTTGTTGTTGTTGTTGTTGTTGTTGATGTTGATGTTGATGTTGTTTGTTGTTGTTGTTGTTGTTGTTGTTGTTGTTGTTGTTGTTGTTGTTGTTGTTGCTGTTGCTGTTGCTGTTGCTGTTGTTGGTGTTGGTGTTGGTGTTGGTGTTGGTGTTGGTGTTGGTGTTGGTGTTGGTGTTGGTGTTGGTGTTGGTGTTGGTGTTGGTGTTGGTGTTGGTGTTGTTGTTGTTGTTGTCGTTGTTGTTGTTGTTATTGTTATTGTTATTGTTCTTGCTATTATTGTTGTTGTTGTTGTTGCATTGCATTGTTTTGCATTGCAGTTTGTGTTGCATGGCATATTCGCTGTTCTAGCTTCAGCTTTGGATTCCGCGTGCGGGACGAGAGCGGTTTGCGGCGCTCTTGGAGCTGTATTGGGGCCTTCTGGGGCCCCTGTTGGGACGTTTTTGGGTCATTGTGGGGCCATCTTGAGCCCACAAGAGCCCATCGGAATCGAAACACCGAGAAAGAAAACATCATTGATTGTATGTCATCACTTCGCTCATTCCGCCAGCCCCTATCGTCATCGCTGGCGTTTGGGGGCCTGTTTGGGGCTTCCTGGGGGCCTCTTGGGAGCCTCTTGGGGTTCTCTTGGGACCTTTTGGGAACCTCTTGGAGCCTCTTGGGGGTCTCTTCGGGGCTTCTCGGAGTCTCCTGGGCGACTCTTGGGGCCGAGGGCTCGAAATGTCTGTTCGGGTTTCCCTTCTGGGCCACCTCTTGTGGCCGTTATGGGGCCATCTTGGGCCGTCTTGGAAGCCTCTGGGCCGTCTTGAAGCCCTCTTGGACCGTCTTGGGGCCCTCTTGGAGGCCTCTTCGGCAGTCTTTGCGTTATATTTGAGGCCTCTTTGGCCGTCTTTCAGCGTCGGGCAGCCGAACAGGTGAGAACGCAAAACTAACCATCAGGAAATCGATGAATTTGCCTCCTTGGGCCCTCTTGAGAACTCTTCTTGGAGACCTCTTTGGGCGTCTCGGAGGCGTCTGCGGCCGTCTGGGGGCTATCTTGGGCGTCTTGGACCAATCGGTCGGCGACTCGGAGCCCTCTTGGACCATCCTAGGGGCCTCTTGAGGCCGTCTTGGAGCGCTCTGGGGGTCCAGAGAACCGCCCTGGGGAGTTCCGACATCCTTGGGCGGACCTTGCCGGGGTATTGATCGTCCCAGTATTTGAGGGGCTGGTCCGCGCGGCGAACTAGAAATCCCGTTTGACAGTTACCGGAGATTTTAGCACGAGTTTTGGCCCGTTGGGTCGGCGAATTAAGGTGTAAATATGGTTTCGGCCTCATGGAGGCCTCTTGGGGCGCTCATCAGGCCATCTTGGAGCCATCTGGTGCCCCTCTTGAGCTCGTGGGCCATCTTGGAGGCCATGGACCAACATAAAAGGTGGCGTCAATTAGCCCCCCCCGTCGGAACCCTCAAAGTCGCCTCTTGGAGCTCTCTTGGGACGCTCTTGGGGCGGTCTTGTGCGCTCTTGGGGCCGTCTTGGGCCTCTCTTGGACCCCTCTTGGGGATCTCTTTGTCCATGCCGGAGCCATCTCGAGGCTTCAGAAGCCCATCGGAAGCGAAAATGCGAGAAGGCAAACAAAAGCAGTGATTTCTATTAGGTTTTGGACGGTTGTTGGCCTCTCCAGGGCGTCCTTGGGAGGCCCTTTGGCCACTTAGAGCTGTCTTGGAGGGATCTTGAAGCCTCTTGGTGGTCTGTTGCAAGCTATATTTGGCCATGTCGGACTACCTTCAGGGATCTTGGAGGCCATCTTTAGCTCTTTGGGGCCTTCTTGGAGCCATCAATGGCCATCTAGGACGCTCTGACCGCTCGCGAAAGGCCCCGTCCATGTCCAGAGGGAGGGGGTACCGAAGAAGAGGAAGAATGGGGTTAGAAGAGGGGGGTATCAAAACCACTCAGGCTCTAAAGGGCTGGAAGGAGTTTAGCCCCCTCCTCTGGGACCGTCAAAATCGCCTCTTGGGGCCCTCTGGGGCCCCTGTTGGTCGCTTCTTGGAGGCCTCTTGGGGCGCCTTGGGCGTCTCTTGGCAGTCCTGGAAGCCTCTTGGAACATCTTGGCTGCCTCTAGGGGAGGAGTGGCTCTTAAGGCCTCTTGACGGCCTCTGTGAGACCGCTTGAGATTCTTTGGAAGCCTCGTGGGACTCGTCTTGGGAGCCCCCTGGGCGCCCCTTGGGGCCCTCTTGAAAGAGAAGGAGAAACAAGTAGAGAGCCCAGAGAAGGAGAAAACAGTAAAGAGCCGCGTCAGCTCCCATATCAGTTTTCTGCCCCAAAGCAAACTAAGGCGCTGGTTCATAAGAATTGTTCGCCTCAAGCGGCTTAGAATAGTGGACAATGTCGGAGCAACGTTGGCTCAAATGTTCCCCAGTAGTTCAACTGAGAAGCAACAGTCTGGCCAACACCGCATATTGCTCAATAAGATTGATTTTAAAATGGGGCTGTGTCTCAATTGGGTAGTTCCGCCTGGAGCTCTATTGGGGCATTCGTGGAGGCGTCGTGAGGCTTTTAACAGGCTCTTCTTGGAACTCGATTGGGTGATCTTGGAGCCATCCGCAAAGCCCATCGGAGGCGAGAAGGTAAGAAGAAAGGCACCTCAGGTGGTGCGATTAGGTGTCTTTGGGAGGCTTCGTGGCCACGTGGAGCCGTCTTATGGCGTATCGGACGCATGCCAGAGGCCACCGTGAACCACATTGGGCTGCATTGAGTTTTCCGTGGCCATATTGGAACCATCTTGGGCCAACAACGACCTTATTGCACCTCTGACCCTCGCTGAATCCCCCCTCCCATCCCATCCCTGTGCATCCTGCCCCATACGGTCGACGTTGGAAAGATAGCGTGCGATGCGGTCCCGACGGCCCGCTCATTGCGCGCTGTCCCCCCACCTTGGGGGTAAGCGTGCACCGCAGAAGCTCTCCCAGGAGGATCGCGTGCACAGATGGAGCCCCCGTGGGGAGATCGCCTCACGGGGATAGCGTTCTTTTCGGAGGTCGCTGTGGCACGCTGTCTTTCCAACGCCAACCGTGCCGCTGTTCCTCCGATGTTTCCCTCCAGCCTTCCTTTCTCAGGCTCCCCGCCCTCGTCCCCCCTCCTCCCTTCTCCAATGCCGATTTTGGCTCGAGAGGGCGATACAGCGACGGCAGGTCGTGCCAATTTGTGAGTTGCGAATACTTCCACCACCACTGCTGACTGATGTCGCGGGCAGCCTTGTGGATGGTGTGCGCAGCGCTCTGTGCTGCTGGGGCTGCCTCTGCAAGGATTGCGGACTTCGACATGGATCAGGGCGACCTGCGTGCTAACGCCTCTGGAGACGCCTGGTCTGCATCGGGCGCGAAGTACAAGTGCGGGACCATCCATACTCCTCTGGACGCTTGCTACCCCAGGGCGAAGAAGGGCGGTCTGATGAGTTCTGCGAGTGCGGCATGCTCGGTAACGTGCACGAAGGGATTATCGTGCAATTGCCCGGTAAAGGGAGAGAGCTGCACCAGCATGTTCTCGAAGAACCCGGGCCTGATCTATGTTGGAGGGATGATTTAGGACATCGGCACCACAGCTGAGGGTTTCTTGACAAGGGAGTCCACGATACCTCCCGAGTTGGAGTTCCGGAATGCCTTGAGCGAGACACGGAAAAACAACGTTTTTTGACCATAGTTGTGTCGGTGCATTTTTTCTTTCCTCCTGCCATACGGGGCATCCCGGCTACGAGACGTACCACACAGTGAGGGTCAACACAGAGACGAAGGAGTGGGAGTTCTTGAAGGCATGGAGGAGGAGGAGGAGGAGGAGGAAGAGAAGGATTTGGGTGCCCAAGTGCCCGTGGGGGTCACCAGGGGAAGGGGTACTACCAACAAGGAAAAATCGGTGCGCACGATAAGTAGCCCGATAACCGCGCACGTCCCATCGTGTCTCACGGCACCCTGAGTGAGACCTTTGCGGTGCGGTGCTTCTTTGAAGAGGCATTCGTTGAAAGTGTGTGGTGTCGGATCCCAAGATCCCGATCAAGTATGGGCACCTTCCTCCTTCAAGAACCGAGGTGGTTCTGGTTAACATCCATTTAGGGGGCGGGGCAAATCCCAATATATTTAAACACTTCTCCTGTGATGTGTCTGCCAAATCTACGTATGCCATTCGCGTGTCCCCGCCAGCCCATCCAGAAACAATTCCCAGGCGAAGTGCATTGATCAGGGGAGCGTAGGAGCACGCAGCCAGCATGCAGTGGAACAAAGAGGGTGGCAGCCGCCAAACCGAAGAACTTGATCAGCATGAGCAGACCCAATCGTGAACCACTTGCTTTGGGCGGCCCTGCCGAATGAGGAGGAGGCGGAGAGGCGCGGATGAGAAGAAGGCGGGATGACGAGGAGGAGCACGAGGAGAAGGAAAGGCGAGCAGAAGGAAGATCGGTTTCTCTGAGCATGTTCCCGGTCAACTTCTGGTGAGCCCTAGGCTGAAGGAAGAGGAACAGGATGAACAGGTGTCCTCGGATCCAGCCTCCACCGCGTACAAGGGACCCGCCGTGGCCCAGGGGAGTTCACCCTAAAGACCTCAACATGGTCGGGTGCTGACATTTCCACAGACGATTTAATCTGCCCTGTGCAGTGGCTCGGCGGCCCTTGCACTCGCTCATGCAGAGACCCTGCCAACGCTGCTGAGCGTAGCAGGCACACTCCGTACGAAACGCATAGCATGGTCGGATCACGAGCTGGTGGCGATTTCTCTGCGCCAGCTCTGCCCTTAGAGCCGCGTCACGGCCGTCAGGTGACCCGGCCTGGCCGAAGGGCGTCTGGCCTCCTCAGAGGCCCCGTCCGCTTCCTCGACCCCCTTACGACGCTCCATGACCCCAGTACCCGTCCGACCAGTGCTCGGGGCCTGCATCGGCCCGTCCTTAGCCGTGTCAGCTACATCTGATGGCCGGGCTCGGATTTTCGCAACGAATTGCACAGTGCTCTGGACTTGCTTTAATGTGCGTTGATGATTACTTACGTGCCATTCTGGGTATGCTAGCGACGCTGCCCCTAGCGTGGCACCTCTGTCCGCGATTCTATTGTTTTGGAAGTGTGTCATGCTTATGGCGCGCCGTGGCATGTGCCTTCTGTTTTTTATCTTGGCCTCCTGTGGGCCCAGTCCGCCTAACTGCGAAACAAGGTGCCAGGCCAATCTCAACTGGCATGCGGATTCGAAAAACGCGTGCACCACTCCAGACCGCGCGAGCGAAGCCATCCAGTACATTTTTGCAGTCAGACCAAATCGTGAGCGTCTTCATTCCTGGTTGCAATGCCATGTGCACAGCGTGCAGCTCCGCTCTGAAAATGGACCGCTCATCCTGTGGCCGCGGCAGCGACCCGTACACGGCGAACGTTCGTTCTCCCCCTTTCGTTGACTTGCGCGAAGCACCACCCCGCTCGTTTGATGGCGGCGTGCCGGCCGTGGAGCAGCGAGCCGTTTGCGTAGACGTCGCACGTGACTGAATCTGGGTCGTCACCTAGCGTGTAGGCCTTCTTCGGAGATGCCGATGTCGGGGAGCTTAAGTGCTGGGGGCGGGCAAGATCCTTCTTCTCCAGCGGAATTCGTTCTCAGCCGTGGGTGCGCTGGAGGCCCCCAGCTGCTGCACTTCTGGAGGCCTGGCCTGCTGCCGCGCTGCCTAGCGCCATGGCAGCACATCAAAAACAATGACTATCAGTCTCCTCTCCGCCGTACGCGGCGCACCTGCTGCTGGTGGCCGCCTCCTCGTCGAAGAGGCGCTGTTCGCTCCACATTCTGCCCGCGAAAATCGTGCGAGCTCGAGTGCGGTACTCCGACGCCCACGTTTGGGACAACGGTATGGCCAGCAGGGCATGCACGGGTTCCATAAAAGGTGTTCGTGATTCCATTCCCGCTTGAGCCGAGGTTCGCAGTCCTGCACTAGTTGCGCGTGCAACCACTAGACATCGACAAGGAGCAGGTCGGCTCGGACCGAGCCGATGGTGAGCGATGGACGCCTGCAACTGCCAGCCTAGCCTGTTCGCTGTGTCTAAAAATTTGCCCGCATGTTCTCGAACCAACGTCCTTGGTCGCCGGGACTGCGAAAGGCGAATGCTCCATCACTTCCAGGCGACCGAGAGGTGTTCTGCGGGCACTGGTCACGCACTGCTTCCTTCCATGCAAGGCCCACTCGACCATTGGGCCAGAGTTTGCGACGTGGGCGGGGTCCACGCTCTCGCCCGACAGCACATGTGGTGTTGATCGCCCTGCTGCACTGCCTCTGGAGAAGCTGGCCACTGCTTGGCGCAACTGCTGCATTTTGGTCGTGGGCGCTCTGACCACCCTCGGCGAGGAGGAGGAGGGGAAGGATGATGCGTAGGAAGTTGAGAAGGAGGAGCTAGGAGGAAGAGGAGCAGAAAGATGGGGGGGAGATATCGACTGCGACCACGGCAGCAACGATTCATCCAAACATGCCTTAAGGGTTCTTTCGCTCTGGGAGCTTCCTGGAGCCATCTTGGAGCCCCCTTGGGGCCATTTTGATGGCATTCGAGAGGCCCTCGTGGGGCTCTCTTGGGGCACTCCTCGGTGCCTGGGGCGGGGGCTCCAGGGGGGCATCTTGGAGGACATGATTGGGTAGATGCTACGCAAGTAGATAGCAGCTTCACTCATGGGCCCGAACCGTCGCCCCTTGGGGCCCTCTTTGGACGCCCTCGGGGCGCTCATAGGCGCGTTGGGGCCGTCGTGGAGTCCTCGTGGGCCCCCTCTTGGAGCTCTCTTGGGCGATATTGGAGCCAATGTGAGGCGTCCGTGGGCAATCGGAAGCGAACGGGCGACCACACAAGTGTGCTCCGTTGGTTTTGAATGTTGCTGGCCTCTTGGGGGGAGGGGGGGTCCTTGGGAGGCTCGGTAGCAACTTGGAGCCTTCTTGGAGCTGTTTCGGCGCTTTTTGGAGGCATCTTGGAGACCAATCGGAGCCATTCTGGTCTATTGTGTGTCATGTTGGAGCCCATCTTGGGCTGCCTGGAGCAAGTTCGACGCACAATTGGTCAACTGATTCCCAGCGATGCCTCCGAAAAGCCAAATAAGCCCATCAGAAGCAAATGGCGAGACGAATCAACTCATTGGTTCCTTGAGGTTTTGGAAGGGTGGCGGCGTCTCAGGGGCATCCGTGGGATGCCCCGTGGCCGCCTTGGGCTGTCTTGGAACGGTCCTGGGGCCTCTTGGCGCATTTCTGGGATCACCTTGATGCAATAGACGCTCTGAACGCTCGCGCCCCCTCCGTCCAAACCCAAGGGGAAGAGTAGGTGGAGGGGTCAAGGCACCTCTCCCAGACGCAAACTGTTTGGCTCACTCCCACCCGCCCCCCCAACACAAAAGCAGTAACCGAGTTTCAGCATATCAAGCGACCGTCTTTGGGTTGACGGCTACTGGGAACCAATGCAAGCCCCAGGTGCGCGACGCTGGGATGAGGTGCGCCACGCGTGCTAGGCACGCCACGCGCACCAGGCGCGCCAGGCGCCCCTGGGGCCCAAGCGTGCCAGGTACGCCTGGTGCGCCAGATTCGCCACGTGCGCCCAGCGTGCCGCATGCTCCCTCCAGCCGCGCCAGGTGCGCCACGTTCAGGGCACGCGCAGAGTGTGCTAGGTGTTCCCGCGCACAGCAGGAAACATGTCGACCCACGCCATACGTGTCGAAAACCAATGCACAATCGCGGCGGGGTGGTCATCATGGTGTTTGGCGGGATTGCACCCAGCAGGCAATATGTCAGCACCCCCGCCGCCCCATGTCAATTACCCTGGCGGCCCGCACGAGAATCTCCCAAAGTAAGCCGGTAGTAAATTTCAGCGTGGCCCTGGTGAGTGCAGAGGTTTTCTTTTCCGTCTCCTGATCGCCCTTTTCTTTTCCGCCCTGGCGGATGCTTCCTTCCCGCCCCCTGCTTTGCCTCCTCCTCCTCGTCCTCCTGCCTTGTTCTACCCCATCCAAATCCTCCCCCGCGACTCCTAGCAATAGCACGCACATCGATTTTCCTTGGCGCCGTTGCCGCCACAGCTGGCATGGGCGCGTCCTCCGATGGCCAGATTTCGAAGGCGCTGGGGCAACCCCGCGGACTAGGCCCATGGGATAGCACCGCGAATCCCAGTTCTACCGCGAGCTGTTCCGCATCATCCCTTGAGTTTTTGTCCGCTCTGTTGGCCGAACGTCTTTGGCGTCTTCCGCGAAAAAAAATGCAGCCCGCGCGCGCTCCAGAAACTGTAGGCGGCTGCAGGACCAGCATGTCCTGCATGCGCGCGGCGCGGGGGAACATGACCTAGAGGTGCAGCCACCGCCGCTCGTCCGACATGCCCTGTCGACCGGCGTCCTCGTCCCCGGCGCAGTCGACGGCGACGCCTTGGCGCAGCGATTGACCTTGCGACAGCGTGGAAGTCAGGTAGGACGCGTGCGCCAGGGCGAACCCCGCGGCGCACGACGGACGGCCCCTAGCTCTGTCACGTGAGCGCTTCTTTTCTGGGCCTGAATATGAGCAAGTTCCTCGCCCGCGCCGCGGCTTCGTCGTTGTCGCTAGCGCGTTGGGCCCCATG